ATAGCGATTAATAGATAGAATTCGATGATGATGATAATACCGCTTGAAAATGTTGTATTCCCAGGTTCCGCACAAATGCCCATCAATTAAAATACTTCTATTTCGAATACAAATCCGATTCTTGATACGATTAGCAATAAGGTTCAATTGAAAGTGATGTATAGGTTTCATCTACTCACTGCATCGAAAGTAAGCGCTTGCTCCCTCATTTAAGGCACAAACCTGTCAATTTACTCCCTCGGGAGAAAACAGTAATTTTCCTAACAAGTGCGGAAAGTGATACTTTCCCGCATACGAATGCCGTTGACCTGAACGACGCGAAGCGGAGTTCGAGCAAGCAGTCGAGTGCGGGAATAGTAATTTACGTAACAAGTCCAGAAAATACTGTTTTTTGGACGGGTAGACAAAATTCTAGGCCGAGCCGTAGGCGACTCCTGAAAGTCCGCGAGCCAGAAAAAATTGTTTTTGGACTTGTTGCGTACACAATTTTTTCGGCAACCATATGTAGAATAACAATTCAATGAGACACATTTCCATATTATATTTCTTTGTGGAAATTTGAACAGAATACCTATACCTACTAACTGCTACATTGGAAATTTCGTGTGGACATTTTCAAACTCACTATTGCTGCTGCTTTCGATAGTTTATTGCGATAATTGCAACCAAACTTTCAAAAATCCAAATGTCCACTAATTTCATGTCGAATAGCTTTCAGCCGATATTTTGCTGCTATGGTAATTATCATCTGTACGAAGGCCTGGAAGGGACACATAAAATAAAAGAAATAAAAACTCTTCAAAATTCTGAGTTATAACTCGGAATTTTAAAATTCCGAGTTATAACTCGGAATTTTACATCAAAATTCCGACTTATATCTCGGAATTTTAAAATTCCGTGTTATAACTCGGAATATTGGATGTAAAATTCCGAGTTATAACTCGGAATATTGGATGTAAAATTCCGAGATATAAGTCGGAATTTTACATCCAATATTCTGATATATAACACGGAATTTTAAAATTCCGAGTTATAACTCGGAATTTTACATCCAATATTCCGAGTTATAACACGGAATTTTGAAATTCCGAGATATAAGTCGGAATTTTGATGTAAAATTCCGAGTTATTACTCAGAATTTTGAAGAGTTTTTATTTTTTTTATTTTATGTGTCCCTCCCAGGCCTTCGTACATCTGCATTTATCAAAACCTTATATCTACCAAGATTTTCATAGTTACAGTGACAACAACGATGTGATACTTCCCAGCCTAGTCCGGGAAGTTCTAACTTTCCGGACGAGGCTGGAAAAATGCTACTTTCTCAAAGGAAAAGCGTCCGGGAAGTGAGTAGTTTCCGGATGGTTGCCGAAAAAGACACTTTCCGCATGAGTTAGGAACAATATTTTTTCTTCAAGCGTAGGAAATTGTTTGATTTGTTCAATCATTATTCCTGCAAATAGGAACAATTATAGAAGTATTTATAAATTTTCTATCTTCTAATAATTAGTGATATAATATATCTATTGTGTGTACTGTTTGAAGCCTCCTGTAGGTAAGCTTATTGTGGAAGCCAGCATGCTCATGGTGTTTGGCCTCTAGATTTCAGACATTTCTAGAAAATGAACCAAAAATACTTCTTTTTTATCTGTTGTTTCAACTTTTTTACTATTGCACCATTCAATAAATCTTGTGTAGGGCTTCTCATAGCTGGAAGTTTTTTATCGCAATTCCACTGAATCGAAAATGACATCAGTAACGCTCTGTCTATCACTCTGGGAATTACACTAACTAATTTGTGATTTGATTGAAATGACAACAATTGTTTCCCACATCAGATCATTTAAAGGCAATAGGGAAATGTATATAATAACCAATTAGTATTTTGCAATATTTTTTGATTTTCACAATAAATAGTGCAATTTGATGGATGAATGTGTACGAACTTACTGAATACTGCAACAAAAAAACCTAAAATTGTCATTATGTGTCACCCACCACTAACATTTTGCGAAAATATTATATAAATTTCCCGCACTAGTGTGGGAAAACTTTTCCAGAACTACTACGGGGAAAAGACACTTCCCAAACTAAATTGCGTGCGGGTATAGGGTGAAACCGTTACGCTTGTAGAAAAAAAAATTACCTCCCGTGGAAGGTGATATTAATTGGCTTCATCTTGCTTCCTTGGTAGATACGAATAAGATTTGTGCTACCCAAGTAGTACCTAATTAGTGTATACTTTATGGTATACTTTGAGGAACTATATATAGGAGAGGTGTCTCCTCTTTGGTCACAATATTCAATGTCACGAAGTGCCACAGTATAAAATGAATACCTATCACTTGTATTCTTTGAATGTATGCAGTGGGAGAAAAAGTATAGTGTGCAACACGTGTGACAACTACTTTTTCCACTTATTGCACAATATAAAATCTGGCGTGCCGATAAAAAAGATTCATGCCCATGGTATACACTCTATTCCTCAAGCAATCGTCAGAATCATTGACCTGAATGATTGAAATGACATTTTGTATGAATTCGAAGTGATTTGACAGTTCTTGACGAAACGAAAATATGATCCGCCTATGATCTGACCCTGAATAACCTTATCACTTTGGGGTAAATTGCATTCTTTGTGAAGAACACGAAGTACCCTCTATCGGGTACAATTGCACAAACATTTTCAGCTTCACTGCTAGGTAACGTATTGCCTATCCTGAAAACCAAAATTACTTTAGAAAATCTCTCCACATCCTTACTATAGAGTAGCTACCTTGAGCTTTCCTAACTGGTGTGAGGGATGGAAAAATATCTATACATCAATTTTCTTCAAACGACATGCATGTTGCAAATTTGTTGGAAAATGAGAGCACTCTCTGAATCACGCATGTGATAAGAACGCAACAAATCTTTTGAACGTGAACATATTACTGTCAAGAATGACAGATCTGAAGAAATATCCATATTATCTGCATATTATGCCGTTTCTCAATATGAGATTGCCATCAGAGATAATAAGACTTCGAATTTCATTCAGCTGGTTCTGAAAAATTGCAGAGCAATATATAATAAGTAGTGATCTGAATAATCAAGAAATTCTTCATAAGTATAAATTTTGTTGTGTAATATGCTGAGCAGCTTCCACGTGATTCCGATATGGATCTGTTCTAATCACAATAATGCATGTTACTGAATATTATTAAGTGATAATCAGAAAGAGAGAGAATTATTGCATTATAGAATACTTTTTGAAATGAAGGCACTGAATTTCGTAACCTTAGTAATTTGATCTTCCTGTTGAAGCGTATCAGTACCGGAGATTTTGAATTTTAGCCTAGGACCATGATACCTTGTTGCACCACCACTTTTTAATTTTGAACTCTACTTCTTGGTCAAAAGATAGTCCTCAGCGTACATAGCCTGATGACAATTTTTTTTGTGTAATTATTACAGTAAGAAACATTCATTCATATTGTCTTCAAAGTCTAATCTGAACATACGACTAGAATTTTCAGAATTTTCAACCGCATTTTGAAAAAAGGAGAGGAAGAAATTGTTCGTCTGACTTCTGACAAAATGCGCCTGTTTAGCGTGAGAGATAACATTCAATTTAGGTGCATAAATGAATAAACGGAAATACCAAGTTTTAAATTATTAGTGAAATTGTTGAAGATTGTGAAATAACAGAATAATGAAAAAGCGGTGTGCATAAATCGGTCTTTACGTTCACGTATTACCTTTCGAATGTTTGGCATCGGCCGGTGGATCCTCTGTGTTACCTCGGTACCTAATCGACGAGTACCCAAAATTCGTGGCTACCACTGAAATTTACTGATTGTTTGTCTGAGTTATCTCTTTTGAGCTTCATGGTTTCCGAAGGTGTTAATACAAGAATGATGATTATTCGATTTTTTCCACTTCTGTTAATTACCTACCTAATTACGTAACTAGTGGCTGGCAAAAACTGCAATTATCAAAATATAGCTTCCGTTTTATTTTTAGATTTACCGCTTCCTATGTCTTTACCGCTTATCTCATTCTTGACCTGGCAACACTGGCGAAGACGTACGATAGCCGACCAAATCAAATATGTTGCCATTCACATCCGCTATATTATTATGTAACGATTGAACAATCGATCTGTATGGTCGTTGAGAAAAAAGTGCACATGACTCGAAATTCATTATATTTGTGTATTTTATGCACTCGTTAGATCTATTGGTACGATTCCACTTTCCACACATAAAATGTGATATATTATTTTCGACACGCTTATATTAGTACGTAATTTTGACACACTTCAAAACGTCCGATTGATTTGAAATTTGGCAGGTGACAATGCGTCATGGAATTTTTTTTAGACAAAAAACAATATGGCGGCTCCAAAATGGTGGACGAGTTTTGTAATTATGAACCGATTCTATCCAAAATTTGTATATGGAGATTGTCGCGGTCGGAGATTATGAATCTTCCATCAATACATGAAAATTCAAGATGGCGGATCCAATATGACGTACAAGTTTTGTGATTATTATCATTCGATTCTATTCAAAATTGGTATCTGAGAATTTCCAGGGTCAGACATTATGATTCTTTCGTCAAAATTGGGAAATTCAAGGTGGTGAATCCAATATGGCAGAAGAGTTTGATGGTAATCATGATCTGATTCTATTGAAAATTTGTATCTGGGGGTTTTCTTGGTCGAAGATCATAATTCTTGCGCCAAAATAAGGTATACTTACATATAAAAAAATTAACTTTCGTAGTTATCCGAACTAAAAATTAGAAAATAAATAGTAGTTCAAAAAACTCAAGGAACACGCTTGGAGAAAATAATCAAACCAAGAAAAAAAAAATGGAAGTGTGTCGATAAATACTCAACATAAAGAATATTAGCACATTTCATTATTATATTTTCTACTTCTTTTTAGTTTGACTATACTTATCGTGTTTCTTTAATATTCCAAACTACTATCAATTTTTTGCCATTTTATTTCTAGTAATCACAGGATCAACAGATGGAATAGGTAAAGCCTATGCCGTCGAGTTGGCGAAAAGGGGAATCAATATTGTCTTAGTAAGCAGGAACGAAGAGCGGTTGAGAAACACTGCCAAAGAAATAGGTGAGTTTCAATATCTATGAGCAAAAAGAAGAGATCGTTTTTTCAGGTATTCTGTTTGGATTCAAGGCAAACCGCAGCGTATCAATTCAAACGGAAGAATTAGCATTCGAGCGGTTTGACATTAAACTGGAAATACTGGAATAAAACTTCTGAAGTCTTGTATGAGAGGATTCATGATGATTTCTCACCTTGATATTTTCATTGGCAATGAGCAAAAATAATTATATGCCTGAAGCACAATAATAATATCTGAATATATAAATCTGAATTATAAATATCACACACTAAGAAATACAGTGATATAATATTTGATACTGATCAACACTATAGCTAAAGTTTATACTGGTCCCTCTAAATAATGTTGAATTATTCTAAAACTAGGAGATAGTGTGAATGATGATAAGTTCATACTTGATAAGTAGAACACAACAGCTCTATACCAGTGTTAACCAATGGAAGTCGTTAACACTCCTACAGTGAAGTATATAACACTAGTAAAGTCAATGTTTAGTGTACAATAACAAATTCTAGATAAATATACTATAGAACTGTGATTTCTTCATCAAAATACGCTATACTTTATTAGGTAATAATTTAATCAATTAATTGTACATACAATGAAATTTGGTATCCATTAGACATTTTTTGAATTAAAGGTATGTATTGAGCATATTATGCGGATCCATTCACGTAAGATCACACTCTCATGAGTAGATATTCTGATCCCCCAGAACATGTTCTATCACTTCAATATCTTGGACCAGCAAGAAGGGTTTACAAGCCTGTCGGATTCGTACAACCTCACTTACTTTTACTGCAAATAAAAAGACACTTTGGTTATGTGATGAATTAATCACGATACTTAATTATACATTTTTGAAGACAATCAGTGAATCTAAGTAACTTCCAGCATCTTCCAGTTTTAGAGGTTGATATTGAGGAGCTATACAGGGTGATCCACGGTGGATGGCCTATTAGAAGTATCTGGAGAACAAAAAGACAGAACATTCTGAAAATTGAGATGCTTTGATAATTGAACATTCTCTATCCGTCTGAAATATTTTCATCGATACAGTGTTGCCACTTCTATCAGAAATAATTAGCAACTTTGTTATTTCAAATGAAACACCCTGTATTTTATTGCATTTTTAGATTCTTCCTGAAGAGTTGATTTCATCACTGCTACACTTGGGGTCTAGCAGAAATGATTACAGAGATATAGGGTGTTCAAAATCAAGATTTTTCAATTTTAAGATTTTTTTGTGTCGAAACTATTCATTATCGATCAAAACGGCTTGCATGTCCCTATCTCAACTTTTGATTCACTATCTACTGGAATTTAATTGGAAAAAATACAGGGTGCTTCAAGATTCAGAATTCTGATCACCCTGTATCTGTTCTAATTAAATATCAGTAGATAGTGAATCGAAAGTTAGGATAGGGACATGTAAACCGTTTTGATCGATAATGAATAGTTTCGACACAAAAAAATCCTAAAATTGAAAAATCTCGATTTTGAACATCCTATATCTCTGTAATCATGCCTGCTAAACCCCAAGTGTGATGCATTGATGAAATCAGTTCTTCAGAAAGAATCTGAAAATGCAATAAAATACAGGGTGTTCCATTTGAATTAACAAAGCTGCTAGTTGTTTCTGATAGAAGTGGCAACGCTGTATCGAAGAAAATATTTTAGACAGATAGAGAATGTTCAATTATCAGAGCATTTGAATTTTCAGAATGTTCTGTCTTTTTGTTCTCCAGATACTTCTAATAGGCCATCCACCGTGGATCACCCTGTATAGCTCCTCAATTTCAACCTCTAAAACTGGGAGATGCCGAAAGTTACTAAGATTGCTCTAAGATTCAATGATTGTCTTCAAAAATGTATAATTAAGTTTCGTGATTAATTCATCACATAACCAAAATGTCTTTTTATTTTCAGTAAAAGTAAGTGAGGTTACATAATATACACTGATTCACATATGTATACATATATACAGACTGATTCACGGTGAATGGCACATTACAAGTCTCTGGAGAACGCAACGTAGGATTATTTTGAAAATTCGGATCCTCGGATAATTAGTTGTGTTCTATCCTGGAATATTCTCAGCGCTGCGACGTTGCCGCTTATATTGAAAAGTAGCAACAACTTTGATTTTTTCAATGGGACACCCTGTATATCATTCCGTTTCAAGATTCTTCCTGAAGAGCTGATTTCATCAATCTATCACACTTGGGGTCTAGCGGAAATGATGGAAAGATATAGGGTGTGAAAAATCGAGATTTTTCAACTTTAAGAATTGTTTGTGTCGAAACTATGCATAATTGGTCAAAACGGAGTTCCAACACTACATCCTCATATATTTATGTATACTTGATGTTGTTAACGGTTGGTTTTGGTATCACGAATAATACAGTAAATTGTCAGAAATTATTTGGGTCATCATCAATTCCTTCTTGAACCACTCTGTAATCGCTAATTCAAATTACCTAACTGGTAGGTAGTATTGCATCTTCATAAATCGAGTCATAAAATAACAATATATCATTATTTTCATAGTTATGCAATATTATGAAGCTTGAAATAAATGGATGTTGATGAACTCTAGTGAGGATTTTGATTATAGAATCTGATTATATGTTATTTCATGACATAATCATTTCTATACAAGTGTGAATTATTGAATTAAACAGGGTGTATCAAGAGGATTCTGCCGCATGTGTTATTTGGTAAACTGTATGTTAACTATGATTTTTTTTTCAGAATCCGAATATTTTGTGAAAACCAAAATTGTAGTAGCCGATTTTTCACAGGGATTCAAAGCTGTAGAATTAGTTAAAAAAGCAGTCGGCCTCCTACCCATCAATATTTTAGGTGAGTATGAAAAGGGTGCATCTGAAGTATTGACTTTTCTCTACACTTTTTTACAAAGTCACCACAATTCAACTTGAGTTTTACAAGTTGATTCAGTAGGAAGTAACATGAATTGAAAGAATTGTATTGAATATTTCGAACGCTTTCACCTTCTGAAAATGTCTTTCTACCAAAATATCTCGCCGAATTACTATTTCGTAGCCATAACAAGCAATGAAGGCTGTAGCAGACCACTAAAATTAATGATTAGTTCAACAACGGGGTGCACACATAATATGAAGGAATTCCTGATTCAGTGATCCATTTGTTCACCTTCTAATTCTTGTATAAAAAACGCACTTTTTTCCTGGAATATGTTCACTGAATAACACAAAACTTGATTAATAATTTATTTGAAATATTCATTGGATTCAAATATTCTGAATTCAAGAAATTTATATACTTTCTAGGATACTTAACCAGAATTCTTGATAGGTACACTATAAGAATTGAAGAGCATACTTTTTCATTCATTCTTTACTCCAATTATCAAATGGGCATTTTAATTATTTCGATGAAATTGAGGAGTGTTTAAAATCTGAAATAGAGCCCAGCAGCTACTTAGATCGAATCCAGATGTGAAAACACCCCTATTTTCATCCTGTCATATGTCAGTTATTTTATGACGAATTATTTCATGACGAAAGGAAATAAGTTTTCAAGTTTGGCCAAGTTTCGGTGTGTCCGCTATTTTGTTTTATGGAAAAAATCTATACTTAACTTTGGGGTTGACTGTTCGTCTTGTTCAATTATCTTTCAAACAAAACTGAATCGATTGAATCACTCCATTAATAAAAGAGTTATTTCCCGAAATCACAATTTGTTGAGACAACTTTATATTATCCGAAGAGGGACATAGATACCACGTGTAATAAAGGTCTAAGTAGGTTGATTGAACCCAATTTATTCATATACCAAAGTTTTCCGTTTGTCCGTGAGAAGAGGTCAAAGTTTACATAAAAAATACATACTTTTGTTCACTATTCGGAAATGGGTGAAACAAATTTGTTAACGTTTCACAGAAGTGCATTTCAGAGGATTACCCTCCTTTCAGTAACCACAAAAACTCAATAGGGATTCTAGAAGGACAGAAGCTACCCTCACCACCTGACATTTTTTTCGGAATATTCTTAAGGGGGTTAATACGGTTCTCAAATTATTTCAACGAGAAGACAGATCAATTATCTTCATTTTATTTGTCGTAAAAACTTAGTTCTCCCCATATTAACGAAGGGAGAGAAAGTAATGCTAAAAGATATTTCCAGTACAAGTTTAATATCATTGTAATACAAACTTCAGTTGACAGTTTTTTTATGTTCTGGTTCCCACGAAAAGGGATATCCTTGAATTTATGGAGGTGGTAACAAAAGCAGAACGTTTCTTATAATAATAGTTCAATATGACGACCATCTTCATCAATAAAAAGGTCAATTCGACGTACATTTGAATGCACTCGATTTTTGACAGAAGGTACATTTTGGTGAATAAATAAATTGGGTTCAATCAACTCATTTTGACCTTTATTACACGTGGCAGCTCAGTGTCCTAGCAATTCTGGGACACCCTATAGATAAATTAGTCAAACTCTCCATCCAGAATAAATTTTATCTAATGAAGCAACCCTTCCTGTGTCTGTGAGATTTCGATCAGTGTATTCGCGAATACATCACAATTAGGGCCTGTCCAGTCTTGGTTTTGTCTTGGTCTTGATACAAGACCAAGACCAAGACTGATCAGTCTTGGTCTCGCGAAGCCCTAATCACCATTCATCGATGAACGGACCATTATTTCCTCTTCAGTAAATAATGTCGGGAAACAGTACGAGTATCCCATGTACCTATCAGAAGTGCCCGAGAAAGAGCTCCTGGACATCATCAACATCAACGTCGGAGCTGTCACTATGATGTGCCGAGCGTTCATTGACGACATGAAGAAGAGAGGACGAGGAGCCATAGTGAACGTATCTTCAGGGTCTGAGCTGCAGCCTCTGCCTCTGATGACAGTTTATGCAGCCACGAAGGTAACCGCACGCAAACATAACAGAGTGTGAACAAAAATCATTGTTCAATTAATTAACATGTTTCAAAGAACGAAGAAACGAAGATATACAGTGTCATTCATAAAGTCAGCATCATATGGGAAACACTTTTATTAGTGACTTATTTTGAAATTCGAGTTGGACGTCAAGTTTTGCTTCGAAAAAGATGAAAAATGGCCTACTCAATCGGAGTCACGTGACTTTCGCTACATGTAAAAAGTGACATGTTTTCAAATTAATCAATGAAGGTAGGCTTATTTGTTCGAATATCGAAAAAGTTTACTTGAAAAAGTTGTTTCTATTTCAATTTCACATATGTGATATGATTTTATCTTTCTATTACATTTTTTAGAGTTCGATATATTTTGAAAATTTTCGAAATTTCTGTAATATTAAAAAAATTGTAAATTCGATAAAACTACTTCATACCAGTAGCTCCATCATGCTACTAACTTTCAATTACTAATTATCACTAATTATCGACAAAAATATGATTTTCTTCAGAAAATGATAATCTCCGCTTCAAAATTCTGTTATGTTTGATGCAAAATGAAATGATAAATAAATGTAAAAAGCTCAAAGTCATTTCCACACAGTGTTCATAAAATGAACAACAATGGTAGATTTCGAGAGAAAAACAACTACTTCCCTGGCTAATGCCACGCAAGATACTGAATTACATTCTCCTGAAATCTATGCATCGACTCGTTTAAACGAATACGAATAATAGGCATCTGTGTGGAAATGACTTTGAGATTTTTTCATGTATTTAACATTTCATTCCACTGTGAGCATTGTGGCTATTTCGTAGTTGATTTTTCGCCAGTCGGGCTGCCAGCCACTCCCGTATGGGAATTTCAGTTTTGGAGTGATTCTTTCCTCGGTTCTACTCAGATGGCGTTACTTTCTTTTTATCGATGAGAGACGCCTCGGGGTGGATATAATGCCAACTTGATTTTTGTTTGGCTAGGCTTCGCTGAGTCGGCGGTCTTAGGACTGCTGGCTGGAGACTACACTGCACTGATGAGAGTCAAAGAGCTCGAAACCGGTCTGTGGTTGTCTAGCGGCCTGACTTAATCGAAATCAATAGGCATTCAGGAAAGAATCACTTGTATATCAGTATTCGTTTAAACAAGTCAATGCATAGATTTCAGGAGGATGTAATTCAGTATCCTGCGTGGCATTTTCCAGGGAAGTAGTTGTTTTTCTCCCAAAATCTACCATTGTTGTGCATTTTATGAGCACTGTGTGGAAATGACTTTGCGCTTTTTACATTTATTTATCATTTCATTCCACTGTGAGCATTGTGGCTATTTCGTAGTTGATAAACATAAACAATGCACTCGCGTTGGATTGCGTGAGTTGCAAATTGTGAAGGAGTCTAGCCTCCTATAGATGTTGCCAAGTTGAATATTTTACGCGTGATTTGCAGACTTCAACGTGTGATGCGTGGCAAGCACTGTTGCCAATTCGAAAATATTCACCTAAAGACAAAAAATTCAATCAAAATCCATTTATTTTGAAGGCCTTTCAATGAGAAAATATAGATAATATCAGTTTAGGGAAGATCTCTGAGGAGGCTCAGCCTCCGTTGCCTCAGTAATAGATTCGTCAATTCGAGAGCTAATTATGGTATTGAATTGGACGACTTTTGTGTCGGTTGCAGATAATAACTATTTTCGGCAACCGTCCTGGAAGTGCTCACTTCCCAGACGCTTCTTCTTTGAGGAAGTAGCTTTTTTTTCAGCCGGGAAGTATCACATCGTTGTTGTCACTGTAACTTTGAAAATCTTGGTAGATATGGTTTTGATAAATGCAGATGATAGTTACCATAGCAGCAAAATATCAGCTGACAGCTATTTGACATAAAATTAGTTGACATTATGATTTTTGAAAGTTTGGTTGCAATGCGATAGTGAGTTTGAGAATGTCTACACGAAATTTCCAATGTAACAGTTAGTAGGTAGATATAGGTATTCTGTTCAAATTTCAGTATTTGTTACAAATGAGAATAGATAAAGAAGAAATTTTATTCTTCAAAGAGATATGATATGGAAATGTTTGATTTGATTATTCCACATGGTTGCCGAAAAAATAGAGTACGCAACACGTCCAAAAACGGTTTTTTGGACTCGCCCACGGCTCAGCCTAGAATTTTGTCTACTCGTCGTTAACATAAATCACTATTTTTTCAGGCGTACATAAAGAGCTTCACGGCAGCCCTTCGCTACGAATACGGCAGCTCCGGCCTGACTGTGCAGCATCTGGCACCCATGTTTGTCAACACGAAGATGAACGCTTTCAGCGCCAGGCTTCGCACCAGCACATTCTTCGTGCCCGACGCTCGGGAATATGCCGCCTATGCCGTCGCGACGCTCGGCAAAGTGGATGAGTCGTCGGGGTACTGGACGCACGGCATACAGGTGGGTGGTTCACGATATAAAGCAGTCATGCAGAAACTGACAAGAGTCTAGTGAAGGTGGTTATCACACAAAAAAAGAATTTCTCTAACCACCTAAATCTGCTTTACTTCAAGCATATGGTTTGTTTATACAGGGTGGTTCATGAGAAGACTCACATAGCCAAATGGTTAATAGGGGAAATCAAGACGAGTTGATGTATATACAGGGTCCCTAATAGCACACAACGTCCTAGGGACGTCCCTTTTTGGTACAATTCCGTCCGAATGTCCCGAACCAAAAATAAGTGTCCTTGGGACGTCTCATCTCGTACATCTCATGCAATGTCCGAGCAAGGACGTCCATGGAATGTCCCAGCCAGTACATCATTTCAAAAGTCCTAGAAATGGCATCCCTTAGACGTCCCACGTGGTACATATTGTAGAATGCCCATGCAAGGACGTCCTTGGCATGTCCCTGATGGGATATGATTTTAAACGTTCCTTTAGGGACATCCATCGGATTTCCCGAGTAGTACATATACTGACATGACTTCAGATCTTATATAATGTCCCTTCAAGACAACCATGAAATGACCCTGATGGTACATTCTTTCAAATATCTCTGCATAGGCGCCCTTAATATTTCCAGGATCGTATAACTATCGAAATGTCCCTTAGGGACGTCCTTCGAATGTCCGTCGGATGTTCCAATTGGTACATAAACTGTACTCTTTCAATGTCCTAGAAATAACGTCCTATGGACGTCCTAGTGAGCACTTTCAATGATATGTTGTCCCTGCGAGGACGTTAACTTACACCTCGCCGACGAATGATTGCTCGTAGGCTATAAGTACTCCTCGTCAATGTCCTTCACGTAAGTCCATTGGACATCCTTGGGAAACTTTTTGGGGACCTTCTACGGACCATCAACTCGATTGGATGTCCTAATCAGTTATGCAAGATCTGGTCCTAAAGGGACCCAGACAATTTCAAATTCAAGAATAATTCGTACATCCCTGGGACATTTCATGGACATCCATTTGATATCCCTCAGCGTTGCTGATAGGTTGTCCTATGGATGTCCTGAGGACGTCCTCTGTAGTGCTTGATGAGGAATACTGTAGGATTTAGGTATTCGATAGTTGTCCCAGGGACGTCCCTCACAGACGTCCCTAGTTGGTCCTCAAGTGGGACATTTGTGCGTCCCACAGACGTCCAATGGACGTTCACGGTACCAAATTCGAACGTCCTATGGACGTCCTGAATGTCCCGACAGGAAGTCCTAAGGATATCCATGGGACATAAGAGTGTTATTAGGGGTGGGGCATTAGTGCGTCGAAGCTCGATTGCTCGATTTCTATGATAGCTAGAAATCTGATTCAAAAACGAATGTGAATGAGATGAAAAGGTCCATAGCTAGAAATTATTGCCGCATATACAGGGCGCACCGAAAATAATCTAGAGGGTCGGGATCAATTTTTTCAATTGGAATGCCCAGTATATTTGCATATTTTTTTGAACATCCCAGTGATCTTTATCCACTCCTATAATATCGTTGACTACATCTCTTTCGTATCAAAGTTATGCATTTTTTGGTTGAAATATTGTCATCTGCAGATGCCTACCGAAAATATCACTGTTGTCACAATTATAAACTTTAGGAACAAATAATCTCAATATCATTTATTGAAAAGATGAGTGACATTTCTGAAAATGTTTCAGACTCTCGAATGATACAGGGTGGCTGAAAATGATTTTTCAATTCGGAACTTTTTGAAGTGATTTTTCTCGTGTTTTTCAAATCGAACACCCCATATATTATTTGACCATTTGATGTAAAATCGAAACACGAACATATTTATCTGAACATTCATAACGATATTCGCAACCATTTTTGAATTTTAGGACTTTAAGAATTTTAGGTTGGCCATTTTCATCGATACACATTCTAATTTGTTATTGAAACATCGAAAGTTCAATCAACAATTTAGTAAACCAATTTTTTATTGAAAGAATCGATGTCAGAATCAAAGCAGACATGAATATGTCATAATTATGCTAAATATTTACAAAGTAGAGACGGAAAAAATTTCATTTCTCAATTATTCTGGTATTGCTTTCAATGTGCCATGAATTTATGGGATACTTGAGAAATGCAAATTTTGTCTCTTTTTACTTTGTTAATAACTAGCATATGAACTTTTTCTGTTTGCTTCGTCTCTGGTATCGATTCTTTATTTGAAAAAATTGGTTCACTAAATTAATACCTCTATTTGTTTGATGTTTTAATGACAGAGAAGAATCAGAATTGATGAAAATCGCCAACCTATAATTGTCAATGTTCAATAATTCAAAAATGGTCATGTATATCGATATGGGTATTCAAATAAGTACGTCAGTGTTTCGATTTCACATCAAATGGTCAAAAAATATATGGGGTGTTCCATTTGAAAAACTCGTGAAAAATCACATCGAAAATTTCCGAATTGAAAAATTATTTTCAGTCACCCTGTATCAGTTGAGGGCCTGAAACATTTTTAGAAATGTCACTTATTTTTTCAATAAATGATTTTGAGATTATTTTTTTTTAAATATCATAATTGTGACAACTGTGATATTTTCGGTAGGCATCTGCAGATGACATTATTTCGACAAAAAAATTCATAACTTTGATATGAACGAGATAAAGTCAACGATATCATAGGAGTGGATAAAGGTCACAGGGATGCTTCAAAAAATATGCAAATATACAGGGCATTCCATTTAAAAAAAAAATGATCCCGACCTTCTAGATTATTTTTGGTGCACCCTGTATATGCGGCAATGATTTCTAGTTATGGACCTTGTTGTCTCATTCACATTCGTTTTTGAATCAGGTTTCTAGCTATCATAGATGTCAAGCAATCGAGCTCCGACGCACTAATGCCCCACCCTGTATATGAATACATTTTTTGACCCTCCATAACGAAGATACAGGGCATTATGTGGAGTCTTCCATGATTATGATTTCAGCTGTTGGATGGTTCTCCTGAATGAAGTCGAGATTGATGAAAACTCAAAGAGGTTCCTATATTCATAGAGAGGAGAAATTGGGGAAAAGGGTGGGGAAGACCGGAAAGTATTGACCGAACACTGAAACATGGAGTGATTCATTTCACAGCACACAAAGTCTACCATCTATCACCTAAAGTTAATGTTTTAGTCGCCTCTTACGACAGGCAGGATTTACCCCCCCATACAGGATTTACCACCCCATACTTCAAAAGAATGATGAAGATGCTTGCAAAAAGTTGCCTGCAAAGCAGGTGTCGTTCCTGTTGGAAACTTCAAATTTTCTTATTTCAATATAATGTAATATTTTCTCAATATGGATCATTCAATTTTCCTGTCACAGAAAAGAATAATGTATTATACACGGAAAAAATATTAGATTTTAGCTCACGGTTTCTTGTCTCCCTCCGCTACGCGTCGAAAGACAACACAACCTGGAGCTATAATCTACTTTTTTCCCTTCTATAATTGATAACTATCCATACCGAAGACAGGCACCTTCGACATGATAATCACACCGACACTGATTTTTTTAACGCCTCGACTCGTGTTTCGATAACAATGTTTGCATCTTCAGGAGAAGATCAAAAATAAATATCATATCCTATGTAGATATGATGCTTATATATTCCTCTACTATAGATATGTTCACATGTTCAAATAGTCATCTAGAAACTCGATCAAGAAAAAAATTCTGAAATCTGTTCGAGAGGTAAAAATTTTCACATTATTTTGTTTCCCTCAGCAATCGATGACTATCGATTATGGCTTATCCCCTCTTGTCCTCCTTAAGAAACAAAAGAGTCGTTCTCAGCTCAGGACATCAGCTGAGCGTCCCATCTTGAGAATAGAGATCAGAATAGTTTTAAAGTTTCAACTTCATTAATTTTTCCACTTCTCTTTTCAGACTTTCTTCACAAAATTCCCGCCATCTTGGATTCGAATGTATATTGGAGCTCATCTGAATCTCTCCTTCAGAAGGGATTACTTCAAACAGAAGAATAGTACGAAAAATAACGGTACTATCAAGGGCGAAGATCGTATAAAGTCAATATAATCATCAAGATGAATTGAGAAGACATACGCAGGACACGCTGCTCAAGGAAAGTGTCTTGTATAGCAGAATGTGTGAATCGTCTTCAAATGCCATATCACCAATCCACTTTCTATGTATAGTTCTCAGAGTCCCTAGTTTTTTTTGTATCTATGGGTCTTATATTTTTTTACTTAACGAGTGTTTGATATATGTAAAATGTTCTGTTGACTTTCATCAATACTATAATGAATCTTATTATGTGTATACTAAGTATACTGTTCATTAAATATTTGTTTTTATTGCAGCCCTACTTTTATGAAAAATAGGTGCATTGCGAACGGCAGCTCTTCGTCAGTAGGCACTATGGGTTCGAGTTATCAAAATGAGTTAAAATAGCAAAATTTCAGTTATCTAGCAATCATAAGGTTAAACAAAAAAGATGGGGCGCCACTGCAACTTTTAATTCAAAAGAAAAGTTACCTGGAAAGTTGAGCAACCAGATAATGAATAATATTAGTAGTTATCCCAGACTGAAAGACCTAAATTTACCTTATAGAGATGTTGTGAGTTGGAGTGTCATGTCAATAAACAAACAAAACAGTCATATACAATACCCAAAACATTTAATTATGATGATAGGACTCATATATCACATCACAGGTTTTGACAAATATGCATAATAAAAAAATATTAGATACTTATTTCCTGTCAAGAAAATACACTGTTGCCTGCTATTATGTGGATGAAAATATGTATAAACCAACGTTATATTGTACTTGAAAAATCAAGAGCTCCTGTAAGGACGTTTTATAGTCATAGCAGATTTTAAAAAAATATTGGAAATGGAAGAATTCTACCAGCGCATAGTATACTATGTGGAGGGGAAGTATATGTACCTTTCATGTGTGATTTCATCAATTTATGACCTGGCTATGATTTAAAAATGGTCCATTATACACACTAGCAATGGGCAATATATGAGTGAATAAAAATGAAAAATAAAAATATATTTTCATGTCAAAAACCTGTATGGTGTGTCCTACACCAGTTATCCAGAGTAGCATTCAGTACTACCAAATGAAGCTTCTGAGGGGAAGATTGGCGGAGAGCGGGGTGCTGACTTCACATCCCTGGATGTCAGATGACATTGACAGAGTTGTCGTATTTCCACCTTGAAAATCCATTATATCAGGAACAAACAGGGGACGATATCCAGATTCCCGATTCCAGACGACTATATAGCCACCAAAGGCCTTGTAGAATTAACAGATCCTGGTCGAGCAATGACTCCTGGAAGAATAGTGCTCCTGGTAGGATAACTCCCGTTGTAGAACTTCCAGTAAAGAAACTCCCGGTAGAAAACTCCCGGTGAAAAAACCCTTCTATGAAGGGTTAGGGATTGAAATGACGATGAAGGTAGGCACGTGGCTGCCTGGGTGATGAACCATGAAGATCCTGCCTCTTGAACGAAAACCAGAAAAATCTGTAGAGTCCAGCAGTCCTTATAGATCAGCAACAAATCCAGGATATCCTGATGTGATCCAGAACGCCAGGCGGTACAGGACTTCAGAAGCCGGTTCACACCACAAAAATGGCACTTGACCACCACGAAGAATTTTCTGAAGTGAGCTCTCGTCTTACGACCAGAAAGGAAATCCCTTCTCCAAATTTCCAGAAACTTCGAGAACAACTCAACGGTTTCCGTTTTTCAAATTGGCGGAAAATTTGAATATCCAAAATAAAAGACGTTATCGCTACTCCCTCCAGAGACTTGATTCTTCCCAGATGACTATCTGAACCAATCAGAATTGATGACTAAAATGACGTCACACCTTTCTTCACAAATACTCGTCTTGTTGGTTCGGCGATGATGATCTAAGGACATATCAATCCGAATCGGCGTTTGGCACATGACAAGTTTGACACTGTTGACATGGTGTCATGACCGACAGCTAATTGACGTAAAGCGAAATAACAGATCAACAAAATCAAAATATCAACCTGAATTTATCAAATGCATCAATCAAGAAAATAATGCCAAACGAAGTTAATTGATTCACCATGGTCGATTCCTAGTGAAACCATCCGCATCAGCGTTCCTGGAAAATCCAATACCTATTGTCCCACTGTGATGAAGTTTCAAGTGGAAATAGCAGTGTGAAAAGTGAGTATGAGAATGTCTCTGAAATGGTATTTCATATTACTTTATATTATTTATCTCTTTCAGATAAGTTCCTGTAAAAACCATCCGAATCATCCTTCTACTTGGATCACAACAAAGCAGATATAGCAAGAGATATCAACGTATTTATAGAAATTGTATTTTTATTTTATGTACAGTGTGAAATCTCAGGTGTGTATCCACATATCAGGTTTGAGAATAATTAAATAATATGAAGCAGATTGAATTCAATTTATGTTATTGAAAAAATGTTACAATGTAAACCATGTTATTGTGACAAAATATCCTGTCAGATGTGCTCAGCATTACAGAATATTATAGAATCAGACAAAATATACAGTAATGAAAACTTACATGCTACATTATATCTAACGCGCGAAATGCTACCTTGGTGATCGAGTACTGATTTTTTTAATGAGGCGCAGTCGACCTAAGAAAATAGTTGAGATAACCAAAATATTTGGTGCACGAGTTGCAAACAACATTTTTTCTACGGACGTCAAAAAACATAGAAAGTAGTGTGTTCAGCTCAATATAAAAAATAGTTTTGAACTGTCAAAAAATGCCTCAATTATTTCGAAACATTCAGATATGAATTATTTTTTGGATGTTTGCTCGATTGACAACCATAACGTTTAAATACAAAAATCTCATATAAAGTTCACATACAATGCGCGAAGTATGTACTTCGCGCATATTTTAACTTCGCGCACTGCTTCGCACATGGTGTCTGGGTAACGTAGCAAACTAAACAAAAAGTGTCACTCCGCAAATTTTTATCGATGCGCGAACCTTGCTATTTTTTTATGTTTGTAGAAAAATATATTTTTTCCACCACCAACCTTGTGCACCAACCTGAGAAATCACCATTATTCGAGGAATTCCTCTGATGTAATGATTTAATGACACTTTTTGAACCTAAATATATAAATATTAATAAAATGAAGGTATGTTACCTATTTGAAACTGTCAATAGTGTCAATGATACCTATATATTATATATTCGTATGCAACCAATGAAAAATGAAACATTCTTTTATCCAAATAAAGCAATATTTAAGGTAAGAAAAACGTTTTTTTTACTCACATCACTGAAATGGCACTTAGCGTACGGATATGTACCATCACGGATTGATGATCTGTGATTCATTCAAAAAATTCAACACGTTACCATGGCAACAAAATTTCTTGAACCCATTACCATAGCAACAAAGTTTTTCAAACACACCTTCAGTCGTTTGAGTCCTGTCCTGTCAGGCCTGTAAATTGTATATAGGAACTGTCAATTGTCATTTTGGAATTTTGATGCAATCAGAATTCTTCTTAGATAATTGCATATTTCCAAGGACTCTGTATAAAAATGAAGCTCTCATCGTTGTGGGCAATTCATTCTTTAGGATTCTGAATGACAATAAACGTAAAAAACAATATTTATCTGAGCAAAATTATGCAATCAGAATATGCATACGAACCTGAGAAACCAAAAACCTTTGATCCCTCAATGAATTGAAAAGTTTTTATCTTCTACGTCAGATGAAAACTTCTTGTTGTCTATAATTTCAGAAATTATCGAGTGCTATTAATTCATAAACTGCGGTAGAGTATAGGCTAAAATTCTTATATTCTGACGACAGTTCATAATCACTAGTGTGATAGTTTTGGTAACGTTAATATGATTGGTGGACTAAAGGTCTGCAGGGAACAGCCAGGGCAAAGCTTGCTGGTCTTCAGCGGCTGGCATGCCTGGCCATTACAGGGGCGATGTCCTCTACTCCAACGGCAGCGATGGAAAACCTCTTGAACATTACACCCCTCCACATTGTCTTGGAGAGGGAAGCCAGGATGGTTTCCTACAGATTCCTGTCATTGGAAAATCAAATTAGAGGGGGACGACTGCTGGACCACTCCGGGATAATGTGTGAAACAAAAAATCACCATACTCTAGGAATGGTTCCCGACATGTTGCCACTCAGACACACGTGAAAAAGTCTTTCAAAGTCCTCTTTCCGAAGAGAGACGAATGGGCAAGAGGATCAGTCCAATTCCCAGAGACCGAACACGTAATGTACACAGATGGTTCGAAAACCCCTCTTGGAGTTGGAGCCGGTATGTTCAGCAGAAAACCGAAGACGGAAATCTCTGTTAATCTTGGCGAATATGCTACAATCTTTCAGGCGGAGGTATTCGCAATTGAATTGTGTGCTAGAGAGTTGTCGAATAAACCTCTAGCAAACAATAATATCAGTATTGTATCAGACAGTCAGGCTGCTCTTGAAGAACTGAGCTCCAGCAAGATAAATTACAAGCTTGTATGAAGCTGTATTGAATCCCTAGAATGCCTGGGTGCTAACAACATAGTCACTTTGCTGTGGGTGCCTGGACACCAGGGGGTGGAGGGTAACGAGAAAGCCGACATCCTCGCCAAACAGGGAACCGAATCTGTGTTCATAGGACCAGAACCATATCTTGGGGTCACCGCTAGTGCGGCGAAAACAACTACCTCGGGCTGGGCGGAGGGAAAAACACTCACGTACTGGTCTGAATTACCATCAGGAGTAACCCATTCGAAGGCGTTCCTGCCTAAACCATCGGAAAAAATAACCAGACAGATCCTAGAATGGAGCAAGGGTAACCTGCGAATTCTGACTGGACTGCTTACGGGACACTGTCGTCTAAGATACCTCCTGGGAATGATGGGTCTGAACCAACAAACGGACTGTCGGTTCTGTTGTGTGGAAGACGAAACGGCTGAACACATATTTTGTTCATGCTCTAGCTTAGAAAGACTAAGGTTCGAAACATTTGGCTTTACCAATTCAGAACCTATCGATTTCAGACAAATCTCACCCAATTCAACTATGAAATTCGTAAAAAGATGTGGATTGTATGGTGAACTGTAACCTCTAGGGGTGAGCCACAATAGACCCATCTGGGGTCGCAGTGGAGGGGAGGTATTCGCCCCACTCACATGGAACCAAACCTAATATGATTGTTGTTGATTGTATTGTAATGTTACATTTCAAAATAATCATGTTTTTCTTCTACAGATTTTATCCGCATGCATGATATAGATGCACCTTTCCCAAGAAAAAATGTTTATGACCTGTGTAACTTCGTATCAATCTGGCAAAACGTTGTTTTCCTCAAATATTGTAGAATAAAATATCTCAGTCGATTCTTTTGTGCCGCTGGCAGATTTAAAAACTATCTCTCAAAAATGGCCATTAGGAGAAGTTGCTCATTTAATATAGAATTCG